CCCCCAAATGGAAAAGCATATATTCAAACTGCTGAAAAAACGAAGATGAAGAGAAAATATTGAAGGTAGCCAGAGGATAAAAGGATTACAGCAGACTTCTCATTTGAACATGTGCAAACCAAGACAGTGCAGTGATATCTTTTAAGGGCCAAAAGGGAAAAACCTTTCAACTCAGAATTCTGTACCCAGCAAAAATAGTATTTCAAAATGAAAGAGAACTAATTTCAAAGTAATACTCTCTTGACATGACAGAAACTGGGAGAATTAATTGTCATCAGACCTGCATTACTAAAAGTATTGAGGATGTTCTTCAGGCAGAAGGGATACTAGACAGTAAGTTGGACCTATACAAATAAGTGAGAGTGCTCTAAATGGAATAAATGAAGGTAAATATAAAATTCATGCCTTTCTAATTTAAAATGTTAATTTTTAATTAAAAACCTTGTCTTATTTTTAATTGCTTTGAAAGATATAGCTGCTTAAAACAAAGTTATTAAATGTATTTTGTTTGTAGAACATATGTAATGGTAAAATTTATGACAACAATAGCTCAAAGGTCATAACGGAGTTTATTACAACATCTTTATATGCGAGCTGGTAGAATTTGCTTGGAATTAGAAAAGCTAGAAGTCCCAACTACCTACCTTTTAGCCACACTTTACACATCTTTCTAATTCCAAGCAGGAACTAGAACAGGGGTGGGCAAACTTTTTGACTCAAGGGCCACAATGGGTTCTTAAACTGGACTGGAGGGCCGGAACAAAAGCATGGATGGAGTGTTTGTGTGAACTAATATAAATTCAAAGTAAACATCATTACATAAAAGGGTATGGTCTTTTTTTTTTTTTTTTTTAGTTTTATTCATTTCAAACTGGCTGGATCCGGCCCGCGGGCTGTAGTTTGCCCACGGCTGAACTAGAAGCTCCAACCTTTCACACAGTTGAAAGCCAAGTGTAAACTGCCCCCCTTTTAATTTTTTTTATGTTTACCTTTATTGTTGCAAGTATTACAAATGTCCCCTCTTCCCCCCTGCACTGATCTCCCTTCACAGGGCCATGTGCGAAAGGCCTCCCTGCTTTCCTGGGGAGGAAAGGCTGTCCACAGTCTCCTTTTATTACACAAATCAGTTCTCTGCACTCCCCTACCCCCACCCCTTCACCTCACTATTGTTTGTGTCCATGGGTTATGCATATAAGTTCTTTGGTTAATCTTTTCCCACCCTCACCCCCCAACCCCGTGGTGTAACTTTTGACTCCTCAAAAATATAGCTACTAATACCCTACTATTGACTGGAAGCCTTACTGATAACATAAGCAGTTAGTTAACATATATTTATATGTTATATACTGTATTCTCACAATAAAGTAAGGTAGAGAAAAGAAAATGTTATTAAAAATTTAAGGGGCCCTTTCCCCCTCTCCATGTGGGAGTCCGTTCAGTGGGACTCTTTCCCCCTTCCCACGTGGGAGTCTGTACTTGTTCTTCAATAAATCTCTACCTTCGCTATACCAAAAAAAAAAAAATTAATAATGTTTGTCTGCAAGTTTTTTTCAAATTGTCACTGATCTCCAAAAAATTTTTCAATGCATTTATTGAAAGAAGTTTGTGTATAGCCCTGGACGGTTTAGCTTAATGGTTAGAGCACCAGCCCATGGACTGAAGGGTCTCAGGTTTGATTCCCAGTCAAGGCTCAATTCCCAGTCATACCGTGGTTGCAGGCTCAATCCTCAGCCTCTGCGTGCTTATGGGAGGCAAACAATCGATGTGTCTCTTGCATCGATGTCTCTCTTGCATCGATGTCTCTCTCTTTCTATCTCTCCTTTTCTCCCACTCCTCCCTCCTGCCCTTCTACTCTCTCTAAAGAAAATCAATGTGAAAAAAATATCCTCAGGTGAGGATTAAAAAACAAAAAGACTGCATATAATGGACCTATGCAGTTCACACCCATGTTGTTCAAGGGTCAGCTGTGATCTGTATAGCTCCTCTCTCCATATGAACTGGTTCCCATTGTCCCTATGTGTTTCTTTTTACCAATAGGAGAGGAAATGGAGTACTGAGCTCAGGGGAGATGAGCAGGAATTTGAACTATTTCAGTGCAGAGAACTGATTTGTGTAATAAAAGGAGACTGTGGACAGCCTTTCCTCCCCAGGAAAGCAGGGAGGCCTTTCGCACACGGCCCTTCATTTACAGACTCTAAAAATAGAACATTACTGATGTGGTCTGTAAGGATGCAGTTCTGTTCTCAGGCCCCTCTGCTGCTCAGTGTCCAGCATTTGAATGTTGTCTCACTTCCTTTGTTTTTATAATGAAATCACAGATGTGCTAATATAGACCAGGGGAGATAACATTGAAGCTTGGATTTCCATCACTGAGGTGCTGTAGCTTGTAAACATCTATTGTAAAATATCTACTGTCTTGTTGGCACAGAGTTTCAGAAACTGTGGAGGAGTGTCACTGTGGATTCAATTGATGAGGAGAAAATAGAAGAATATCTGAAGCGACAGGGTATTTCTTCCATGCAGGAATCCGGACCAAAGAAAGTGGTATGTAACCCCTGGAAAAAAATGTAGTTCTCTGTTCTTTGAACTGTTAGCTTGCTTTCTCTTCTCTGAAGAGCAGGTAGTCAGTTCTCCCTTTCAGTTTTTTCTGTGTCCTGACCCATTGATCTTGGTCAGTTGCAAACCAGATCACATGTGGTTTATTGAGGGCCAGCAGATCTCTGCCCTCAAGTGCTGCTCCCCAGGAATGTGCGAGTTTTCCCCATCCGACCGCCCTGTCCTAGTAGTGTCTGCTTTTAAGCTCCAGCCATACCAAACTTTTCCTAGTGCTCACATGTCCTGATCTTAGCCTTTTAAGACTCTAGCCGTCTACCCTACCCCCAGGCCTCTGCTCCAGTGAGCCCCGTAGTGTTGGTGCCTGCTCTCCCTTAGTCCTGATCACGTTGAGTTGTCCTTGTTAACTTTCAGATCCCTCTGAACCAGGTAATACTGTCTTTGTAGCCTAAATCCTGCTCTGAGGAAGGATTTGTAATGGGATGAAGACTTGTGAAATGGTCTGCACTGGCTAATAAGTAACTGTGCTAGTCCCAGGACAAAGCCCAAGTGAGAACTAGTTCACACTTTAGACTCCAGCTGCAGCACCTCTCCCCATCTTTTTCTGTCCACCACCAGGCTGTGTAACTTGCCTTCTTTCTGACTTTTCTTGTGTGTGTTTCAGTGAATTTTTAGAGCTCCTTAAAAAGGAAGATTTATTGCCAGTGATCTCCGTAAATTAGTGTACTTACAGTACTTTATGGTTTCAGGTATACTGAAAAGAATAGAGAATAATAGTAAATCTTCATGTGCTCATCTACTTCCTAATTTTGCCCATATGTCTGTGTTTTGCCCTATTTACGTCAGATCTTTTTTATTGATATATATATTTTTAGAGAGAGAGAGGAAGTGGAGAGAGAGACATCGATGTGAGAGTGCAACACTGATTTGTTTCCTCCTGTTTTCCCCCAACTGGGGATCAGGCCTGCAACCCAGGCACATGCCCTTGACCAGAAATCGAACCAGCAACCTCCTGGTTCGATGCTCAGCCTACTGAGCAATACTGGCCAGGGCTGAAGTATATATTTTTAAACCAGATAATAGTGATGAAAAAGCTTTACTGCCTCTCTTTCTATTTACTTAGTGCCTAGAATAGTTCTGAGAAGTTTTTGTGTCAGTCCATTTATTCCAGGTAGAAGTATATGCATCATAATAGAAAGCATAGTTTCTTGTTTGTGCTTGGGAGTGTGCTATGGATTGATGTGCATGAGATTTGGTTACAAAGCAGAAAAGCAGGCCAAATGCTCCAAATCTCTTGCTGCTGGTTTCTGGGCATCCTGAGTAAATCCTTATGCTTTACCCCTCCAAGAGCTGTTGTTTCTGTTTTTACCTTTTCCTGTAGGCCCCTATCCAGAGAAGGAAAAAGCCTGCTTCACAGAAAAAGCGACGATTTAAGACTCATAACGAACACATGGCTGGAGTGCTGAAGGACTACTCTGACATTGCTCCTGGAAAATAGGGAACAGTTTTGTAGGTGAGCAAAGAGTTACAAATACAAAGTCAAGATCTTTCTTGTTGCTACTGGGATCTGAAGACTGTCTTCCCATTCTACTTCTTAGGACTGAGGAGAGGAGCAGTTCCGTTTACAGAACAAGTACAAATTACCAAACTCAAAGCTTATTCTAACTGAATAGGCTGATGAGAAATGTGATGTTCCCTGTTAACTTCTCTTACTTCTTGGGGGAGAGGCCTGCAGGTGTCTTTGCTGTTTATCTGTTCTAAGTGGTTCCTGGTTCCATTTTCCCTTTTATTCCTTTAGAACAAGTTTGCAGATAGTCTTGAATGCAATATTTGTTTATTCCAAAGTAACATATTTATAATAAAATCATTGCAGAAGGAATTGCAGAAGTTAGTGAATTAAGTTGTTTCTTTTCATTCTTGGCAATGGCAGTTGGCAGCTCCAGTCTTTAACTCCCACAGGGGGCGTGTTTGGGACGTTGTTGGAGACTGGGACCTGTGCTGCGTTGCTGAACATACGGAGTTCATAGTTGGAACTCAAAGCGTGCCTTTTGTTAGCTAGTGAAGCAGTAAAGGTACACTACATGTGATTTGTAATGTTTTCTTTTAAAAGGATAATCAGAATTTAGCCTCTTGGATTTTGCAAGTCATTGTCTCATGCCATCAAGGATGGATAGAGTCATCTTGCCAACCTGAATGTCAGCTTTACAGTCCAACTCTCAGGGGACTTGAGGGTGAGGTTCCTCTGGTGGAGAGTTTATCTCCTCATCACTGGGCAAGCTCTTGATCAAATACATGGGCTCGTAAGAGTCATGATGCCTTACGGGAAATCTCTATGATCATTCCAGCCTTCTATAACAAACTACCCATTTTCCGTAACTGTACTTGTGATACAGTCTGTGGTTGATCATTACAGTCCTCATATCACAACTTACAATTGTAGTGGACTATAAAAATAAGGTTCGGTGTTCTCAAAAAGGGTGCCTGCCATGGTATCCTAAAGCAGTAAGTACTTTGTGTAGTAGATGACAAAGAGTCCTTTTGCGGCTTTAGTTCTTTTAATCCCTCTGTTTACTTATCACCCGCATCTACAGAGTCATTGTTTACCTCTTTCTTACATCCAAGCCCCAAAACATGGCATGAGAATATGTAAAACTGAGGCTCCCCAGAACATGGGGAACTTGCTGGTCTAGCTTTCTATCAGAGGTGTTTTGGCAAGTAAGATGGGGGGCTTCAATGTCTTAAGGTATAAAACTAGTAAAAAGTTTTCTGTAAAAATCTGGAGCTAGCTTATCTCCAAGTATGCCTACTTTTCGTGGTCTCTACACACCATCCTTTTGTTTTTCCAGTTTATTGAGATATAATTGACCTACAGCTCTGTACAAGTTTAAGGTGTAAAGCATAGTGGTTTTACTTACACATATCATAAAATCGTTACTACAGTAAGTTTAGTTAACATCCATCATCCCATTATAGGTACCAAAAATGGTTTTGTTTGTGATGAGAAATCTTAGGATTTACTCTCTTAATGTTCATATACCAGACAGCAGTGTTAACTATAGTCATCATGTCGTACATTATATCCCTTATACTTATAACTGAAAGTTTGTACCTTCAACTATCCCTCTCTAGTTTTCCCTCCCCGATCTCTCACCTCTGGTAACCACATCTGATCTCTTATTGATGAGTTTGGATTTTATTTTAGATTCCACACATAAGTGAGATCGTACAGTACTTGTCTTTCTCTGTCTGATTTATTTCACTTAGCATACTGCCTTCGAGGTCCATCCATGTTGTTGCAAATAGCAGGATTTCCTACTTTTTTATGGCTGAATAATATTCCACTGTGTATATATACACATCATCATCTTTATACATTCATCTGTCGATGGACACTTAGGTGTTTTCATGTCTTGACTATTGTAAATAATGCTGCTCTGTACATGTGGATGCAGATATCTATTCGATATAGAGTTTTTATTTCCTTCAGAAATATTCCCAGAAGTGGAATTGTTGGATCATAGGATTTTTTATTTTTTTGGTGTGTGGGTGTTTTTTGTTTGTTTGTTTATTTTTTATTCTAGAGAGACAGGAAGGGAGAGAGAAACGTTGATTGGCCACCTCCCAACCCAAAGATCAAATCTGCAACCCTGGTATGTGCCCAGAATTGGGAATATAACCTGAGACCTTTCTGGTGCATGAGATGACACTGACTGAGCCACTCAACCAAGGAGTAGGGTGGTTCTACTTTTAATTTTTTGAGGAAACTCATTAGGTTTCCGTAGTGGCTGTACCAGTTGACAATTTCACCAACTGTACGCAGGGGTTCCCTCCTCTCCACATCCTTGCCACCTTTTGTTTTCTCTTGACTTTTTTTTAAAAAAAATATATATTTTATTGATTTTTTACAGAGAGGAAGGGAGAGAGATAAAGAGTTAGAAACATTGATGAGAGAGAAACATCGATCAGCTGCCTCCTGCACACCTCCCGCTGGGGTTGTGCCCGCAACCAAGGCACATGCCCTTGACCCAAATTGAACCTGCGACCCCTCAGTCCACAGGCCGACGCTCCATCCACTGAGCCAAACCAGCCAGGGCTCTCTTGACTTTTTTGATGCCAGTTATTCCAACAGGCTTGAGGGGATATCTCATTGTAGTTTTGATTTGCATTTCCCTAGTGATTAGTGATGTTTGAGCATCTTTTCATATACCTGTTGGCCATATTTATATCTTTGGAGATATGTCTATTTAGGTCCTTTGTCCATACAGCAGTGTTATTTTTTTGCTATTGATTTGTATGAGTTACTTATATATTTTGGATATAAACCCCTTATCAGATATATGGCTTGAAATATTTTTTCCTGTTGCATAGGTTGTCTTTTCATTTTGTTAATTTTTTTTGCTGGGAAGAAACTTTTTGTTTGATGTAGTTCCACTTGTCTAATTTTTATTTTGTTGCTTATGCTTTCTTTAGGTGTCATCTAGAATGTCATTGTCAAGACTCATGTCAAGTAGCTTTTTAAAAAAATGTTTTTATTCAGAAAGAGGAAGGGAGAGAGAGAGAGAGAGAGAGAGAGAAACATCAATGAGAGAGAAACATCGATGGGCTCCTATGTTTTATTCAAGGAGCTTTAAGATTTCTGTTCTTACATTACTATGGCTTTATAATTTAGTTTGAAATCAGAAAGTGTAATGCCTTCTGCTTTATTCTTAGAATTGCTTTGGCTACTTGGGTACATTTGTGTTTTATATAAATTTTAGGATTGTTTTTATACTTCTGTAGAAAATGCCACTGGAATTTTGATAGGGATTGCATTAAAATTTTATTTTTATTTATTTTTTATTCAGCAATATATTTGATTTTTTTTAATTTTTTAATTTTTATTTTTTTAGTTTAAATGCATTTTATTTTTAGACAACCTACACGACATGTTTTTTCTTAAAAACAATGACTTTGCTACAAATAAATCAATGTCAAAATGAACGAAGAGCTCAAGATAACATCAGTCCCATTTGGATGAAAAGCAGCAGCTAGTTATGATGACAGGTTGCCAAATTTGTTAACATTTTCCCATTTCTAAACCACCTTTAAAGAGAATTACACCATTCTAATGGTAGTCCATCAGAGCAACCATGCCATCTGTACTCATGTTTTCATCCATAAGGAACTCTGGTCTCTGCTCTTCAAGCTTCCCTTTGATTGATTGCACGTAATCTTTGATACACTTCTTCTTCTTTTTTTTTTTTTAATAAATCTTTATTGTTCAGATTATTGCAGTTGTTCCTCTTTTTTCCCCCCATGGCTCCCCTCCACCCAGTTCCCACCCCACCCTCTGCCCTTACCCC